TATGTGAGATGGGGCCCTATTGGAAAGGTACCAGGGAAGTCTAGACACAGTACATTGTATTCATTCTTTTGGATAATTATAAAGAGGAGGCTGCTTTCTTTCCATTGGCTCTGGTCATGATAAAAGCAACCTTGCAAGGCTAAAGGTATACATCCAAGAAAACTGTCACCATGGATGTTCACTCCACATTTCTCCTTTATAATTCAAGTGGGTACCCACCAAAACAACTGTTTCTTCATGGGAGTTATTAGGCCATAAATACACATCAACTTGAAAAAAGAATTTTCTTCGGGGGCTGTTTGGTTTCTTGCTTTTTGAAGTGGTCATCATCATTACACATCTTTAGATTGCTCTGCAGATATGGTTCATTAACTCCACTGCCTCGACCTAGCTTATATGGTGGCACTGCCGCACTGGTGTTGTCATGCATGCATGTTAAAGGATGAAAAAGAAAAGGGAAATCATTCCTAGAGATTGTTTGGAAAAGCTTTTAAAAAGTGATTTTGCGCCATAAGCAGCAAAAAGAAAGTAAAAAAAAGGAAAGAAGAAATCGAGCTTCGTAAAGCATCATATGAAATGTCACTTAAGAAGAAAACAGAGTAGTAAAAAGCTGAATTAGGGAACTGGATCTTTCACATGAAAGGTCACATAGCTGACTTTCCTCTTTGGAAATAGTCTTTCAAAGATTTTAAAATTTTCATTTTTTGGTGCAAGTGCATATGAAGAAGGGCTTAATTATTCTGAATTCATGGCATCTGTTTTTAGACTCAAGTTGTCCACTCATTAATATAAACAATTTTATGCTGGTTTGCCATTCTTGCTATGCAATTGGAGGGTCTTCACTTTTCAGGAAGCACGTTTCTTTAATTTTGATTTCTATTATTTTTTTATTAGGTTCAAAGCATCAATGTGCAGTTATGCACAATAGACAGTGTGGCGTGTTTTAAAGGGCTGATACTCATGGATGCAAAATTTTCCCTTTATCAAGCTTTGAATCTGAACATGTCTGCTATGAAGGGAAACCTGACATCGGTTTCACTTCCCATACAGTGCTCCCCACGCAAACTAATACCTATGACTCCGTGTCAAAACTCAAAAGAGTACTACAGTGCAAAATCTTGTTTGTTTAATTTCTAAACATTTGTACTTTTATCAAACTGAGTGGAAATAGTAGAAATATAAATATTTATTTTTTTGGTTTAAAAAATATAAATATGTTTTAGTGTATATAAAATACAAGGTTTTTTCAGATGGTTTTTGAATTGCGGTTGATCCGAACGGTTAGACCGTTTGGCCTGGGAACCATCCAGGCAACAATAGGTTCTATTTTATTCCAAACCYAATCCCTGACCAAAAACCATTGAATCAGTCAACAATTTGTTGACCCAAATGGTCAAACTGTTGATCTATTCGATCTGTTCAACGATTTTTGGTGGTTTTTTTATTTTAATTATTTAATTTTTTTTTTATCAAAACAAATTGTCTATTCAAACCAAATGATTGAACCGTCGACCAAAAAACGAGTGGACAGAACAATTCCATTTCTAGATCGTTTTTCAAAACATTGGTTTTGCATTTTATATATTTGATTTGTACTCCTTCCAAACTGAGCCCACGGTACAATACAGGGCGTGATACATATGGACACTTTGAAACTTGCTTCCATTACAAGGATAACAAAAATTCATACATCCAAACAACCCCTAATAAAAATGTGGCTCTATTTTTACTCACAATGCAGTGTTACCGCAGAACAAACATGTAATAATTAGAAGAGAGAAGAGTTGTTTTGTAGCAAAAGAAAAGGAGGTGGCACTTCATATGGTACAGATCAGCAGCAGCGTTGGGGAGGTGGCCCGGCCGGTGTGGCTTGTCATCTGCCTCTCTTTCGTCTTTTGCTTTTCGTTTCTATTTATTTATTTCAAGTTTGTGGGGCCGGGTGGGGGGCGCGATTTATTTTAATGGTCGGGATGAAGTGGGCCCGTACAAGGTCCAGAACCGCCACCATGGATGGAGACATTCAACTTCGACTCATGCGGTGGTCCCACGTGTCAGCTCAGTCCCATCACGTTCACGCTCCTTGATTCTATGTATCCTACGTCTATTTATATCTCATTTTCTCTATCTACATGATGATTTCACCAACCATACATGCTCTGATGCTGTCCATTATTAGTACTACTAATTACTGATTACTAAAAGTTCTGAACCGACTCAGCATTCGGGTCAGACTCAATTGAGTCGATTCCCTTCCCTTGGCCAGCCTGTAGGCCTATTATAACTTGCCACTTGTCCTATACCAGAAGGGTTGGGCCCACCACCAATGTGGGCTATCGCAGTGTGGTGGGTCCAGACTGAAATTATATAGTACTGGTCTTAGGCCGGACTTGCGGAACGTAGTTTGGCTTTTTATTCACGAGCTCTGGGTCACAAGTCTGTCTGTCACCCGAATAATGCACCGAAAATTGGATTCCTAGGTACATTTTTTTGGTGATTGAGCAGCAGAACTGCAGCACAAAACAATATTCTTAATACCCTAACAATGTAACTTTTCATTTGCGCCGGTGTAGATGCATAGGATTACAGTTAAGCTTTGTTTGTTTACAGTGCAATTTAGTACAAATGAATGAGTGTGAAATAAGAAAAATACAAATTTCAGTCCATTTTGATTCAGTTTTCATTTTATTTTGCTTTAGTTTTTATTTCATCACCTCATCTGCATTGCAATTTAACAAATTAAGATGAAAGTAAAAAACAAAAATAAATCAGAACGTGCATTCAAATCATTTGCAATATAAACAAATTATTAGGCCTTAGGCTTCATGGAAGACTGTAAATACAAATGCTGTTATTGTCATGAACCCTGCATATTTGTATTTGCACTCTTCGTAAATGAAGTTTTTAGTCTAAATTTTAGAAAATGCAAAGTTGGTTTAGATTTGTGATGATAATTTTGTATTGTTGCTAAATGATTCTTAATTGTGGTAGGTATAACCATGAATCTCGAGATTGGAATCCACATTTTTTTCATTAACCAACTTTGAGTGTAAAATTTGCATTCAAACTAAACCGATTTTGCTCTTATTTTGAATGCAAATATGCCATTGAATCTTAATTTTCTGTCTTTTTCAATACATAAATGCATTTTCATCAAATGGAGATAGATTTTGCATCTGTTTGGCAACGTTGCCGTTGCTCCAAACAACATCACCATGTCAGAAAAAATGGTGCTCCAAGAAACGGGCATTTGTTTGRAACTGTTTTTCCAAAAAAAATGGTACTTCAAACTACGCCTTGAAAATCGGGAAGGCATGGCTTGGAGCAGTGCCAAATTTGGTGTTTCCTGGAGTTATAGCTCGTTGCTGCC